AGATTATAATAAGAATTGTTCTACACATTCGGGAAATATTCGATGGAGAAGCTGGGGTGAGCGGGTCCCCACGGCAGCAGGACAGCCGGAGCTTGCTCTAGCGTCTTGCTGGAGAAGCTTCTGCCAGTTCCTCTTTTTCTCATCTGGTGTACATTTAGACACTGCCCTTCCAGATGTACAGACACAGTCCTCATTGGTTTTCCTTATTTGCCATGCCTGCAATACTTTTATTTAAATTTTCTATCTGAAAGGCACAGGGTGTAACCTTCCTATCTTGTTACATGACTGTACTGAGGCAGCAGAGCTTTGGTGTTAAAGACTTCCGATGTCTTTGATGTAAAAGCCACAGCACTGCGACAGAGTTTCCCGTTGCATAGATTGTTTTTTTCTTATAACTCCAGAGCCTTTAAGCAATGTTTCTAGAAACAGAAAGCCATTCCTCTTTATTTTTACATATACCACTGACACGATCAAATAAAATCATGTAATTATTGTGGCCTCTTAAGATTGTTTACACTTATTCATGACCGTGTGTGTGAACACAAACACTATCTATGCTTCTCCCAAATATTGAATAAGCCATTTTTCTGTTAACTGGCTTTCCTACCAAAAGGGCCATCATATGTTTCCACTAGTATTCATGCCAAGAGATGAGCAAAGGCAGTTACCAAGAAACACAGCAGAACACTCCGCAGTAAACCCTCTTCCAAGCAGCAGGGGTGGAAGTCGGATCATTCAAACATTTAATTTAATAGAGAGTTGCTTAACAGATCATTTGTGAATTTAAAAAAAATAAGATCACAGGGCGGTGCCTGTGGCTCAAAGGGGTAGGGTGCTGGCCCCATATGCCAGAGGTGGTGGGTTCAAACCCAGCCTTGGCCAAAAACTGCAAAAAAAAAAAAAAAGGTCATAGTAATAAATATTTGATTAAAACTCTGTTAAAACCAGTTCAGTCATTATCTGATGATTCAGAGGAACTTCACGTCCCACGTTGCTTCTGAATCATCTGGGAAAATCAGCGGTCTTTGTTCTGTGGAAGATGGGCAGACTGGTTAATAGACATCTGCTGAATTTTCACAGAGGGAACAAATAGATTGTTTTGCTCTTATGAGAGCATAACAGCGGTTGGTTAGGTATGAATTTTACTAGTCAGCAGCATTTCAAATACATTTAAATCTGGTGTGTGGAAATCAGAAATGTTAACATGTTGTCTTTAACTAAAGCATAAAGCAGAGGTTATGCTATTGTTTGGATATAATAAAGTTATGCTTGCCTGTATTGGGGGGCAGATGCTGCTTTCTGGTGAAATTAGCACTCGTACATTGCTGGTGTTATGGACCTTTCTGGAAGGCAATTTGCCAGTACATATCAAAACCTTTTAAATGAGCATACTCTTAAACTCAAAGATTCTAACTTCTGAAAGTTTTTCTAAATAATTGAAACAAATGGTAAAAGTGTATCAAAATGAAGTCCTTTCTGGCATTGTTTATAAGAACATAAAATTGAAAAAATTCTTAAATGCACGTCAGTATAAAATTAGATAAAGAAATTATATTAATAGTTCACCATATAATTACTATGTGTATACATATATATTTTATGTGTATATATACACACACATAGAATGTTGCATTGCTATTGAAATTATACTTGGCCAATATGTTAAAAATAGTCATAAACAAGGTAAATTAAAGAAATGGTTTATGAAATGACATATATAACATTCTTTCACTTTAGTAAAAATGAAAATATCCATGCGTTCATAGGAAAATGCCTAGTAGAATGGCAAAACATAACTATGGTCCCAAACGTAGAAGGGAAGAAGAGAGAGAGGGGAGGGGAGGGGTGACATGGGCGAAGGGAGGGTATTTGGGGGAACCTCACCTAATGTGCATGATGCAATGGTACATTTCAAAACTATTAAGAAATGGGTATAATTGGGCTGGATGTGTTACTTAGTTCAATGTAAGCATTTCACATTGTATATCGAAGCAGCACCCCAATCCCCATAAATACATCAATGTACAAAGTTATGATTTAATAAAAAATAATAAAAAAAGAAAATGGCTAGTAGACCATATCATATATTATCACATTCATTTCTGGGTGATACGATCCCAGGGAGCTGGTTTTTACTTTCTCATTTATACGTTTAGTATTGTCTGGTTTTAAAAAATAATAAGTATGTGTTACCTTTAATAGTCAAAAGAATAAATAAGTTTTTTTTTCTATTTTGAAAGAAAAAAATAAGCTTGTGGTGTCAGTATGAAGGGCAGGTTGCCATGGAGGAGGCCTAAAAGCTAAGATTCTACTGTTTGCTTTGCACACGGAGGCCTAATGAAGGGAATCTCACGGTTGGAAACTGCACACCTGTTTGGTGTGGACACAATTTCACTTATAAAGTACAAAGTCAGCGGGTATGTTATTGAGCTTGGGCACATTGTGATCAAAAATACCATGAAACCATTTAGATTTCTTGTATCCGAGACAAAGAGCTACCAGTTTATTACCTATACATTTTCATCTGTACCGAGCAAGAAGGGTTAGAAGAGAAAATGGAGATGATCTGGTCATTCTCCTCCAATGAGAAATTCAAGGTGAAGAAAGATGAAGTGTGACCTGGCCTTGGTGGCAAATCTAGTTCATGTCAGAGCTAACCGCCAGCAACGTCCAGCCGTGGTGCATATTGAGTAGGAAGGAGAAAGACAGTAACACCTGACGTTTTTTAAGTATAGAGGGAAATTAAGGGCTTAAAATTTGATTCTAGTAAGGAGAGGGAGGAGTTTTGCTTTGAGCATAGCAAGGTCCCATGTGGAACTTCTGTGTCTCTTGCTTATCTTGATAGAGGACTCCCCAAGTAACATCCGTGTCCTCCTCATGGCTGATCCAGAGATATGGAAGGCCAAATTAAGACTTTCTGTTTGATTAGCTTGGGAAGCAGTCATTCAGGACTAATTCTCCCTGTGATGGTTAAAGCTGTCAACGGAGAAATAAGCCAAAGGAATATCAGGCCAAGAATTTGAAGGGTGAAGCCAAACCACTGGGAAGGGCTTTTGACTGCCAACTACAATGCAATTGACTTAGAAGGGAATATGCAAATCATGCCACTTTGTCACCTCAAACTCAACAAGTCTAAAATTGAACTCACCTTTTGTCCCAGAGCAGCTCCTTAACTGAATTGTCCTAAGGATGACAATACATTGCGGTATAGAACACTTTGCCATGACATTATTTCATTTGATTCTCATTCACAGGGAAATTTAACTCAGGTTAATCAAAGTGCTACAAATGAGTGTGAGACCAGTTCTAAAAAGCAGGTCGTCTGAGTCCTGATCTGGTCATCTGTTATCAGCTATATTACACGTATCACACTGCCCTTCCTTCCACATTTATGAAAATAAACCAGTTAGTTTTATAGATTTACTAATGACGCTGTTTACAGTGGCATTTGAACGTTGCCCACTAGCAGATTTTAGTAAACAGAAAGTCAGATTTTCTCAAATAGCAAAGAACAACCCAACCAACTTTCAGAAATGCTCATCCTGTTTTTTATAAGATCCCTCAGTGAAAAAACATTCATAGCATTTTATTTCAGGATGATGAAACAGATGAAATAAAGGCCTGGATCTAAGCCTCGTTTGTAAATCTAACATGAGCAAACCTTCATCAGTTATATTAGGTTCGTAGTATTGGTGTAACTGGGATGGTCCTGCTGTTTTGTTGAATTTATAAATTATTTTGGCTTTGGAGTTACGTAAGAATTACAAGCATGGACTAGAGCCACGTAGTATGCCGACAGTTAACAGTACTATATCACACACTTAATAATTTGTCAAAAGCCTAGATCTTCCTACGATAAAAAGAAAAATATTATAAAATAGTGTGAAAGGTTTATGTATCTGAATTTCTATTTATAGATATGTAAATATAATAACATTGTAATAAAACCCTTTAAGTCTCCAAAGTAAAACGTAGCCCCATCCTTATCCCCATTCCATCCCTAACCCTCCCACCCATCCAGTCAGCTCACCTGAGACCTGCCAGCAGCACCTGCGCCTTCTTGGCATTTTGTGTCTCAGGTCATATCACGCCTTCAAAAGTAGCCAAATCAACCACGCAGGCCATTTTCTTCTCCAGCTGGGGCATCTGTAGTTTCACAACCCTAATTCTTTATTTGAGAATAAGTATTGGGGGGGAAATATCTAGCATAGTGATACTGGTACTATAATTTGCTTAAGATAAAACTGTAAAAGACCAATAATGTATCTCTCTGTGTCTCTTCTCCCTGCCTCAGCCTTTACGTGTCTGTCCACAAGTCCACCCCTGGGAGACTGTGGTAGTTTGGATGATGTGATACTAAAGCATGGTTTGGAGCAGGAGAGGGGGCCTTAGACGGAGCCACTACCCCTTCACAATGCACTGACTCTAAAGCCTCCTACCAATTGTCAGTGAAAAGGAATTGAAAGGACAACGAAAGCCAAAACAAAGAAAATGCCCTGCGCCAGATCACAATTAGCAGTTTTGGCTTCTTAACACCAAAGTCCCAGTTCAGTGGCATAACTTGATTCTTTTCTGATCTTCGTTTCTATGTAAATAATACACACAACCTGCTGAATCCTCTTTAATACATATTTTGATTATTTTCAGTTTAATAGTTTGTATTTCTGCTTTTAAATCTTACATACTGATAATCAGCTTAGTAAGGAAATCTAAACCTGCTAACAAAGACCACCTGCTTTTATGTAATTTTTTTGTTTAAATTGCTATTCGATCATTGTAAATTACCCTCAGTAGCTATCAGATTGATGCTTTTCAGATACTTAAAAGTCTAACAACTAGTTGATTGGGTTTCTAAACGTGAGGAACGGAACCATCCTTTTAGAACTCTGGTCCTTTAAGTAGTCAAGTTCAGAGAAGTGCTCAGGGCTGTTCCTATCAAGAAGTTGATGACCATAGTTGGCAAGTGGCACCCTCAAGAAGTTGTCTTGGAAATGTTGCAGAATCGCCTACCAGAGGAATGATGATGACGAGGAAGAGGCGGCCCGGGAACGGCGCCGCAGAGCCCGGCAGGAAAGGCTGCGGCAGAAGCAAGAAGAGGAAGCCTTGGGACAGGTGACCGACCAGGTGGAGGTTAATGCCCAGAACAGGTACTGTCCTCTTCAGAACGGAAAACTTCTAATTTGTGTCTTAGTCTGTTGAACAGAATTGTCAGGCAAAGCAGCCCCTTCTCAGCCCAGCTCAACCCTTTTTCAGTTGATCTAACTTGTTTAATTTCTTTGTGGTCGTTTTAGGCGACTAATCAGATTGGACAATCTAATCTAGACATTAGGACACAAATATTCTTGTCTCCCCACTGCACATCCATTCCCATCCCCTAAACATAGTCTAGTTGCAGGTTTTTTGGTTGGTTTTTGTTTGTTTGTTTTGTTTTGTTTTTTTGAGACAGAGCCTCAAGCTGTCCCCCTGGGTAGAGCACTGTGGCATCACAGCTCACAGCAACCTCCAACTCCTGGGCTCAAGCAAGTCTCTTGCCTCCACCTCCCAAGTAGCTGGGACTACAGACACCCACCACAACACCTGGCTATTTTTTGGTTGCTGCCGTCATTGTTGTTTGACTGGCCCAGGCTGGATTTGAACCCGCCAGCTCACGTGTATGTGGCTGGCGCCTTAGCTGCTTGAGCCACAGGTGCCAAGCCAAGTTACAGGTTTTTATTATATTTTATAATCTAGTATTTTTTAAACTTACTAAATATAGCCAGTTATAACTTTAAAGAAGGAAAACTATTGACAGTCATTCTATAGAGTATTGCTATCTATTTTGAACGGAAGATTAATTAGTTTAGTATATGCATTCTGTGTGCCTACCAGTAACCTGTGAATTTGAGGAGGCATGAAGAGCAGATGTCTTCTTTTTCCTAATAGACAGCCCAAATCAATGTTCTCTGATCACTCTAAAATTCAGCAAGATGCAGACTCCTGCTGAATTGAATGTGAGTATTCAAACATGCTCATTGAGTTTATGACTACTACATCTTTTCCCGCTCAGGCCCTGGTGGAAATTGGGGAAGTCGAGAATGCCTAATAGGTTCAACTTCTTCAGAAAGGGCTTTTATGACAGAAATAAAGTCATACAGTTCTCTGTGATAACGGTCAGTGTATGTCATTTATATACCTCAAGGTCTGAAAAAGTTGAGGATATTGGAGGGGTAGAGGAAATAATTTTAAATTAAAACTGAACAGATTAAATACAATGGATCAACTATGTAAGGTCTCACATGTATGTGGCTTTGGCTTTAGTTTATTTTATTTTGTTTAGTTCTGTCTATTTAAAAAATTCTGAAAGGAATATGTTCTAGCCTCTTCAACTTCAATTTGAGAGGCTATGAGGTCAGAACATTAAGTTGATGAACTCATCCTTCAAAATGCTACATACCTCCTTGCTGAATATCACTTTGGTCACCAGCTGGCCAAGGGGAGGATTTTGAAGGTGACTATGGTGATATTTCTCAATGACATGTGTAGCACATTTTCTAGGATGAATCTGAGAACTTCATTGTCTTACTTCATATATCAGAAGGTTTCTGAAAACGATCTTGAAAATGTTGGCAGGTAGCCGTTTCTAAACGTGAGGAACGGAAACATCCTTTTAGAACTCTGGTCCTTTAAGTAGTCAA